TATCAAACTCATTTTAGAGATCCCATTTAAACCTCTCCAATATACAGATTATTATTAGCAACTCCTCTCAAGCAAAATCTTTTTACGTCACTGGATTACAGMCGAAGATTTCAATATTTTTTAATAATAATAATAATACCTAAGTATTATATTCGATTTGTTAATAATAATCATTATACTGGTATTTTTGTGACTTCCCCTCGGAATGCGTTCGATTCGAATCATCATTATATAGCACCTACCTATATTGGATTATTATATCCACCCCCGGCGCCATTACAGTGGAATTTTCTCGGAATTCTGGGTTGGTTCATTATTATTATTATTGATACTACGTGTATTATTTAGGGGACGATGTCATCACGCCGTAACCGCTCTACCACTCGATACCGTCGTCGCAGTACGATAAACGTTATATGGTCGCACCAAACATGATATGTGTCTAGACGTCGCGGTCGTTGTTCTTATCTGCTTTGTTCAACACGGAGGGTACAAAATTATGTTTGAGACAAAAAATRAAAYAAAAAGTTGTCATAGTAATAATACGCATATGATAAGTGATATTATCGGGTTTCCGAGACGCCATCGCCATTCGGCCCGTCCATCGTCGCCGCCGCTGCCAAGATAGCGCAACCCCCACGAAAAACTAGAACACCGAACGTATTTATAAAAGCCAAACACGTCTGTTCCGCACACCTAGTGACTTACAGGACATCCACCATGAACCACTTTTGGGCATCGTCGTTGATGCTCTTCGCAGTCGTGCAATACTCGGCCGTCGCGTTCAAAATACCAGGTATTGTTACCTWTATATTATTATAATCATTATACTTACAACCTACCCTATTGTTTAAAATAAGTCACCAGAACCGCTGGTCGTATAATAATACAAAACTTTASACGAGCTATAGTAATTTATTTAAATATTATTTAACGATTGTATAAATTCATCATGCAATATAAATTATTAAATATCATTTATAGTTTAAACATTAGAATAATTGTTTACCCAACCCCTCAATACGCAATTATACAATGATTAATTATCAAACGTAACTTAAATGATTACATCAACTATAATATATACAAAAAAATAATAATAATAACTTGACAATAAAAAAGAATAATAAGAACAAGAACANCATATGTATAGTATCATTTTTTTCTTCATGTTTTTATAATGGATTTATTGACATCGAAAACAACTTACGATTCCAGATATTATAATATTATCGTAGAGGACGGAGGTATTTWGCTAAGAACCCGTAACGAGTATTTAATGATACCTTGGTGCTTATACTTTATGAGTCACAACGAACGTAACATATTGATGCCATCAAAGAATACTAAAATGTTGTAGTAGTAATTACGTCACGTATTTTACCTTTTTGATCCTGATATCGAATCGAACAATGTATTGGGTTTACGACGATGATTATCTGAATTTTAGTTTATTTAGAAAATTATTTAAATAAAATAATGTTGATTAAAAGGTACCTATGTCATGTCTATTTGTTTCATAAGTGTGGTTATTTTTTCGATTTTCTTACTATAATTTTCTTACATAACAAACTTCCGATATCCACACTGAGATATAGGAGGGAACCCTTTAAAAATGATTTTAACCGAAATCCAATCAAAATTTAAGCTTTGAGTGAAATGATTTATTGGTGCTGTATAATTTAAATAACACTTTTTTGCTACAAATAATAATAATCTACAGAGGCATGCTCGGGGTTTGGTTTTCGGRGTTCTAACAACCTTCAAATTGACATTCTTAATTATTTTAACTTATTATTTTTTATGAAATAAAAAAAAATTATATATTTTAATAAATTGAAATCACCCGCTAAACAAAATCCTGTGTACGCCCATGATAATCTATACTTACTAGATTTTTAAATAATAAATAAATAATTGTATTATTCATTACCTGATAATTTGAAATTTTATGAACAAATATGATAAGCTAATTTTTAAATTAATTAACATGAAGATATCGTTAGTTTGATGTAATTCAAAGAATATAATATTCAACATTTAATATTTTTTTATTTTTTTTATTATAGACCTTCGTGAGCAATTACAGTATTTCATTTATTTATTTACTTATTAATAATCGAATCAATAGATATTGTCATTCAATTTTCTAACAATAAGATTTCATAAATATTTTAGACAGAGTCTCCATTAAATATTTTAATAGATACTTACTAGTTACTATTATTGCAGGCTAAAATTGAAAAATTTCAATGACGTTTTCAATGTACTTCCATTGGCACTTTTTTTCTTTGTTTAGATTTAAACTCAAGAAAAATAAAATACCTACTTGAACGCATATAATAACAATAACAGTCATTCAGTTATAAACGATTATTTAAATTAGAAGTCTCTAAAGTCTTAGTGACTAAATTTAGTATAATATGGAATAAAATAAAAGATAAGATAGGTGGCAATGAAATAAAAATATATATTACTTTTTATGGTGCTTGTAGTAGGTAGGCATAATTCGTAAAATATTAAACAAAAAGTATTCTGCGCACTTATCGTTAGATTGAGCTATATTAAAATATTAAAATAATATAATTTCGTCGAATAAAAGTAAACTGTTATTTTGTTCCAGTAATTGTCTATAAGAGACTCCATTAAATACGATGCAAAGTTTGCAGCTCCTCATTTGAGACACATTTAAGCCACGCAACATTTTGTGAAGATCCGTTTCGGTATTAACTCAATGGCATATCGCCTACAACACAATTTCCTGCACTGTTGAATACACTCAAAAAAAAAAATAACTTAAAAATGCAAATAATAATAATAATGAAAATAATAATAACAAAACAATAATATAATAGTGAGACGACGAAGAAGAAAAAGAAGCGATTGACATTAAAATGCAAATATAATATCATATCCAAAGACGAATATACAAGTTTACCGAAGCACTCATTTAAAGTACATCGCATTAATGTTATTATGAGTATAATGTTCGCCTGTATATGTGGAGAATTTAAATGAATTGCAAGTAAATCTTGCACAGAAAAATAGTTGTTACTTGGAACCTTGGAGGAGATCGTTATACTCCTGTTAGCTGGTACCTGGTACCTGGTACTTAACAGTTATTGTTGTAATCATCTTGCAATACTGAAGCCGGTAATATGCACGAAAATACATTATTATAAATTAATTAATAATATAATGTGTATAATTATTCAGTATTATATATTTTAATGTAATATTATGTCGGGTTCGCATTCATTACTGACATGWATATCCATACCTATCATAGTGTTCACTGACTTAAACGTTTAAAATATAGCATTAAAGCGCATATGGGTGTTATGGCTRATGGACATTGTCGCTTAAACATAATATTGCGAACACCTATCACGATCAGTGTTGGTGATGTTCTATATATCGACGTGTTATCCTGAAAAAAAGATTCCTGGAAGAGGCTGCGACTTTCCCTAAAGTTTCAGAAACATTTAAAAATGCTCTCGGTGATATGTAAACATATCACGTAAAACATTAGTGTTGTAATTTATATTATGAAGGCTGWAAGAGAGCAGAACCTGATCTAAGTCTGGAGATGACGGGGTGTAAGGGCACAACTGTACTATAAGCTGTAGGCCACTTTAAAATC